AAAATTTAGGTGGTTAGTATGCAACAAAAGTAATATTTAAGTGGTATGTGATACAATTAACCCCTACATTGTTTGGTAGGCCGGTTTTAAGTTCGGAAAAAGTTGCTATCATGAGAAGTACATTTCACAACATTAAAAGTTCATAGTCATGGCGTGATAATACCTTTGTCATATTAATATCCATGGTTGGGTTTCAAAATTGCATCTGGGATAAGAGTGAAATTGGTTTTTTTTTTTTGTTCTCTTTGTAGTTTGATGGTTCATCTTAGTCCTATATACACTATGTTTTCAATGTATAACGAGGGAGATTGTACAATGTCTTGAAAAAATTGGTTCGAAATCAGTTGGATGCCTGTGAGATTGTATAATTTTACCGTTCCTAGTTAGCAAATGTACATACAAATCAGATGCCTCTGAGATTGTACAAGTTTACCATTCCTAGTTAGCAAAAGTACATACCAGTCGTTTGCCTATGAGATTGTACAAGTTTACCATTCCTAGTTAGCAAAAGTACATACAAATTCTTTTAAAAAATTGAAATGAAAAAAGTAAGAAAAATTGAAGAAGCGAAAGGTAAAAAATAGGGATATTATAGAATTTCAATAAATATACAAATAGATTAGGAAAAAGTTTATTAGTACATATCCATAATTCTAACCCTAGATTAAGCTGCTAAATTAGGTAAAACTTTATTAGCTACAATGAATCAATGATAAAACTAAGAGACAGATCCAAGAAGTACGGAGATGTGTTGGCTGGCATATCTGTGTCCAAAATTTGTGAGAAACGTAGATTTTAACGATACAAAAAAAAATATGTGTTCTGGCGTAATATGTGCAGGAGTAAGCATGATGGGGGATGGGATTTCGCCAATTTGACCATTTCAACCAAGCTCTACTGGCTAAGATAGGCTGGCGTATTCTAAATGAGCCTCAGTCCCTCCTCGCCCAGGTTTATAAAGGAAAGTATTTCCCTCAAGGGTCATTCCTTACAGCGATGGCTAGGTCTCGTCCTTCTTGGGGGTGGTAGAGTATCCTGCACGGACGACAGTTATTGGAGATGGGTTTAAGATGGCAGGTTGGTAATGGCCAATCGGCCTCTCTCCTCCATTCTAACTGGATTCCGGGGTACCAACTTGATCCCCCTTGTTATAATCCGCGGATCTTGCTTGAGGGGGGTGATCCCTTGGTGGCGGAGGTGATTTGTGAAGGGGAAGGATGGTGGTATGATGAAAAGCTCAGTCAATGGTTTGACCCGCCTACCTGCAGGGTCATTAAGGCTATTCCTCTCCCGCGTCAAAATGTGACTGATAAGCTTATCTGGCATTGCACGGCGGATGGGGTTTTCTCGGTAAAGTCGGCTTACCATTTGGCTGTTGAGCTAGAAAGGAGGAGGGGTGGATGGCGATCCTCGGCTAGTTGGATGGATAAGCCGAGTTGGATTAGGGTGTGAGAGGCTAAGATCCCCCTGAAGCTGAAGGTCTTTATCTGGCAAATTCTTAATCGGGTTCTTCCAACTACTGAGGTGCTTATTGAGAAAAAGGTTCATGTGCTGCCTAGGTGTCCAGTTTGTTGGGATGGCCCGGAGACGATGGAACACCTGCTCCTTTATTGTCTGGTTGCGTGGGCTCTCTGGGATTATTAAGGGATGGATTACTTGTGGGAGGGTTTGCCTTGGCACACTTTTTCATTATTCATCAAACGTCTGTTGGTGCTGATCCATCAGCCGACCTTGGTGATGGCGGTTGTTTCCATTCTTTGGCGGATCTGGCGGTCTCGTAATTGGGTTATCTTTGAAGGCAAAAAGTTTGGGATCCCGACGCTCATGCGACAATTCAACCAACAATATGAGGAATGGGTGGGCTTGCCAGCAGATCAGGCTCCTAAGGTGATGATTCTGTCGATTCAATCAACTACTCAAGTGGAGGATTCCCGCTTGGTTTGCATGTGGGATGGGGCTACTAAGGGTTGGTCGCATTCGGCTGGTGGGATGGTAGTACTTGACCCGGCGCTGACGCTCCTTCTGGCAAGGGGGGTTCAGTTTCCGCAGTTGGATGAGCCTGCAGTGGTGGAATTGCTTGTGCTTAGGGTTAGGGAGGCAATGATTTGGTGTGTGGAGTGTGGCTTGTCAGAGGTCCGGTTTGAAGGGGACGCGAAGGTGATTATTGACAAAATTAATCAAGCCGACACAAGAGACAACCGGTTGGGTGCTGTCCTAGAAGAGATAGGTCATTTTTTACGTACCCAGCCTGGCTTTAGTGTGCGTTTTGTAGGTCGGGAGAACAGTAGGGTAGCTCATTCGGTAGCTAGAAAAGCACTTTCCTTGTATCCGACTATGAGTCGCTTCTTTGATTTTCAGGCCTGGCTAGTTTCCAGGATGTAAATGTCTATTTTTTGGATCAATATATGATATCTTTTGACAAAAAAAAAATGATACAAAAAAAAATCTGAAAGTTCTGATATAGCTCCGATAATTGTAGCGAACACATCCATTAAACTACTAGAAATTCTTGGGCGAAAGAAATCAATTAAGTTAGGAGTTGGGATGGAGTTTAAAAGGGCGCCAGCTAGATCCGTTCCATTTCATATGTAACTCCCAAAATGATAAAATCACTCATATATTAGTGAGATGCTTGAAAAAATTCACAAGGATATGAAAGATATGTTTGGAATTGAAGGATAATCAAATATCATATGTTTCTTGTAGTAGCATTACTCTTGTGATTGTTTTTTTTTTTTTTTGACTATTTGTGCAATTTGTATTTCATTTCATATGTTAATTGACATATGTTAGGTAAAGTATTTCCATGCATATATATGTGAAGATTTGTATTCTTAAAAAAATATGAAGCATATTTGATAATATTTTTGAGAGCGTTCATAACTCGAAACTACCTGTAACCCAACCCGAAACTGAATAAGTTGGGTCAATATTTAACTCGAAATTAACCAACTCAACATGACCCGACTCGTAACCTGAAATCTCAAAAATTACCAACTCGACCTGACTCTCATATCCAGTGGCGGATCTAGGGGTGGGCCACCCCTGGCCCCGGCCCAGCCCTCTTGCGGTTCCGAGTTAGTATAGTAGGGTAAATACAATTTAATATCCAAATCTTTCATTTTAAACAATATAATTGCCAAACCTTTTCGAAAACAATCTAATATCCAAATCGTCAACTTTCCGTTCGTTTGACCGTTAGTTGACACTTCAAAAAAGCTTTGTTTAGGGGAAATTGTCACAATATAACTTTGTTTTCTTGTTTTGACATTGCAGATGACTGAATATTTAGATATTCTATACCATCATGGTGGAGTCATGGACTTCTCGGGTTTGGAACTATGATATGATGGTGGTTTTTCAGAGAAGATATTGATGGATATTGATGAAGTGTCGTACTTCAAACTTTTTTGAAGTGTCAACTAACGGTCAAACAGACAGAAAGTTGACGATTTGGATATTAAATTGTTTTCGAAAAGTTTTGGCTATTATATTGTTTAAAATGAAAGGTTTGGATATTAAATTGTATTTACCCAGTATAGTACGTATGAATTTTTCGATATTAGGTGTTCGGCCTATTAAATTCGGTCCAGTATTATTTGATAATAAGATTTTGTGTAACTTGAAAAATAGTATAGATGAACATATCCAAACCACTACTCTCAATTTAGACTAAAAATTCTAGCCCAAATAATTTTCATTTGAAAAGAATAAAATGAACTTACTCGTAAAAGACTAAAAGTAGAAAGTTTCATTGAAATAAAAACCTCTAAACTAAACCTCAAACTCTTTGTCAAAACCCAAAAAATTCCTCCAATTCCAAAAAAAAAAAAAATAGAACGATGAGACGAACGAACCCGAAACAGATTCCTTCGCTAGTTCGTCAGGAGCTGATTTTCTTTCCAGTCTTTTGATGAAGAAAATATTAACAAACTTGTTGAGTCATCATTTAAATTGCTTCAGTTGAGGGGTTCACTAGATCCTAAAAGTTATTTTTGGTTTTTTATGAAGAAAATATATACAAACTTGCTCAAGAGTTTATCCTCGAGACTTCGAAGGCTATTAGATGCATTCTTTGAAGAATGATCTACGATATTATACCGCTCATGTGGTTCATAGTCAGGAATATGAAGTTTCTTCTCTTGCAAAATTACTAGAGAAGCTGGTGGAAACAAGGATGGATACACACTACACATTGATTTGTCGGTTGATTCGTCTATTGTTAACCTAGCTCGTTTCAACGGCAACTACGGAGATAATATTTTCAACAATGAAACACGTGAAACTTATTTAAGCAACAAAATGAGCGATGAATTTTCCGCGGATTGCTTAACTATTTTCTTTAAGAAAGAGTATGTTATTGTTATGGATGAAGATTCAATTATTTTATGAATTCGCTAAATTAAAAGAGCGTCATGTACAATTAACATTGTAATGAAAATTATAGCTATCATTTTTTTAACGGCTTCTAATTTTCTATTCAAATGCGGCCCAGTGCTCTACTATATTCTGGATACGCCGCTGCTCATATCTAAAATCAGAAATCTCATCACCAGTCATAAATGGAATATAATTTCTCTCTTTCTCAAAATCGCAAATATACGCTAATAACTGCAATTTTCTCTTTTGGGAGGAAAATTAACTGCAAATCTTACCCACACAATAGACGGGAGTGGTGCATATTCTAGACACTTAATGACTTAACCGTCTTTTATCCCCGACCATTCTGGAAAAAAGGCCCATTACCGTTCATACAGCTTTCTCAAAGAGTGGGCCAAACAAAACAAAGAAAGTGTTGCGGTTAACTTTACTTGTCCACACCACCCAGTATTTTGGTCAAACGAGAATGTTGACCTGAGCTATCATTTTCTTTTTTGGGTAATCAAGTTGGCCACCTCACCTTTTGATTACCTAAGCGAAGATGTCATCACAAACAACAAGATGACTGATGCCATTAGGTGGCTACCGTTATTGCCAAGAGTACTTTCCAGTTTCCACACACACAACACACACTTATAAGACAAAGCAGCCGATCCAACGTTCGGCTTCGGCCCATTCCCAACCACCAACTCACACACTACGTACGTTCTTCTACCCTCTATATAAACCCGCACTCGCACAGCCTCCAATGCCCAAATCGTCCACACTCAGAGAGAGATAGCAGGAAAGAAATCTCCGATTCGATCTACATCTCCGTCGAGTTCAGTTCAAATCCCGTTCGAGAAAAACAAAGAAAAATGGTTGCGAATCAGCCGGAGAAGGAGCATCCGGTGCCGGCCTTTGGTTTGGCTGCCAGAGACCCATCTGGAGTCCTCTCCCCCTTCAACTTCTCCAGAAGGTTGTTTGGACTTTTAACCATCTCCTGATTTGATGTTAATTTTAATTCGTTATGTAATGATGAACGATATTAATAAATATGCAGAGCGACAGGGGAGAAAGATGTCAAGTTTAAGGTCATGTACTGCGGGATTTGCCATTCGGATCTTCACATGGTCAAGAACGAGTGGGGCACCAGCACCTACCCTCTTGTCCCTGGGTAAATCTTCCCACTCCCGTTCTCACCTCTGTTCTATATTTTTTTCTCTCCTTTCTTTCAATCCCGTGATGCGAAGAACCAGTTTCTACCAATATTACAAATTCAAATCTTAATCTTACTGAAACTGTTGCAAAAATTTTAGGCACGAGATAGTGGGAGAAGTGACGGAGGTGGGGAGCCAGGTGGAGAAATTCAAGGTCGGAGACAGAGTAGGCGTCGGATGCATGGTCGGATCCTGCCGCTCCTGCGACAATTGCTCCAACGGAGTGGAGAATTACTGCCCCAAAATGATCCTGACCTACGCCGGGACCTACCACGACGGCACCATCACCTACGGCGGCTACTCCAACGTCATGGTCTGCGACGAGCACTTCGTGGTCCGAGTCCCCGACGCCCTGCCCCTCGACGCCGCCGCGCCTCTGCTCTGCGCCGGGATCACGCTGTACAGCCCGTTGAGGTACTACGGGCTCGACAAGCCCGGGATCCACGTCGGCGTTGTTGGGCTCGGCGGGCTGGGCCACGTCGGGGTCAAGTTCGCCAAAGCTATGGGAGCTAAGGTCACGGTCATCAGTACATCCCCTGCCAAGAAGCAGGAGGCAATTGAGCGACACGGTGCGGACTCGTTCCTGGTCAGCCGCGACCAGGAACAAATGCAGGTAAAAAAATCATAATTGGAATCGGTAGTCAAGAAGATTGATTGTTTCATTTGGTTAATCAGATTAACTTAATTTTGTACTGGTGTGTGTGTGTACAGGCTGCAATGGGGACGTTGGATGGGATTATCGACACGGTTTCAGCGGTACACCCAATAATGCCATTGATTGGGCTGTTGAAGACGCATGGGAAGTTGGTGCTGGTCGGTGCGCCGGAGAAGCCGCTTGAGCTGCCGGTTTTCCCTCTGCTGATGGGTAATGATCGAGAGATGCTTTCACCTTCATGTTGTTGTGAAGGTTTTTTTTAGCGTTTTAGCTTAACTGTTTGGCATGTGTGAACTGCAGGAAGGAAGATAGTAGGGGGGAGCTGCATTGGGGGAATGAAGGAGACGCAAGAGATGCTCGATTTCGCGGCGAAGCACAACATCACGGCGGATATCGAGGTTATATCGGCCGATTACGTGAACACGGCGATGGAGCGCCTTGAGAAGGGTGATGTGAAGTACCGATTTGTGATCGATGTGGCCAAGACTCTGCAGCAAGGTTAAGTTTTTGTGTGTGTAACAATAGGCAGAGTGTTCAATGGGGATTTTGGTTGAGTACTTAGTATAAACGACTAGGGTAGGCAAGTGGATGGTTGGTTTTGTTTGTTTGTAAGGATTTGAAGGATATATATATGCCTTTGTGGTGCTATCATTGTTTGTGAGGAGCTGAAATAAGGAGTGATTTAGGTTTTGTACCTTTTTCCTTCTTGGAGCATATAAACTTTGATTCCTTATATGTCTGATCAGCCCCTCAAGTATGGTTCCTTTTCATTTCATCACCTCATATTTCTGCTGAAACGATTTCATTTGATGAACTCAGAAGTATACATTATGTCAAAAATCCTATATATGAACGGTTCTGTCACGAATATTTTAGTTGGCGCAACTGAAATGGAAAGATAACAAATATAACTCTATGTATATAACTATTTACGCTGAGTTGTTTCTCGGTATATATCAGCCACGCTATTAGCAATATCGATCACAAAACGATACCGAACATCACCCTTGGCTAGCCGTTCCATTGCCGTGTTTAGATAATCTGCCTTGATAATCTCAATATCAGCTGTAATATTGTGCTTTGCTGCAAAATCAATCATTTCTTGTGTCTCCTTCATTCCCCCAATGTTACTTCCTGCAACAGTCTTCCTCCCTAAAACATTCAACATAAATCACATCCTTAATTGTTCTCCAATCCCTAGGAATTAAGCTTAAGCATATAAACCCAGCTAGGAATTGATAGTTTACTTACCCATAATCACTGAGAAAGCAGGCAGCTCTAGGGGCTTCTCTGGTGCACCCACTAGTATCAGTTTTCCGTTGGCTTTCAATAAACCCAACAATGGCAATAGAGGATGCACTGCAGATACCGTATCGATTATACCATCCAACGTAAATTGTTCTTTCTGGAAACATTGGTAAAATGAGTTCCTTAGTTCTGGAGTCGTATGACTAAAAATTTTAACGTAATTTATACAACATTTTGACCACGTTTCATTTGTAGTTGAAACAAATCTCGTAGGTTAGGTGGAACAATCAATTTTACCTTAAGCTGGTCCATGTTGGTGCTAACCAAAAACGAATCGGCGCCAAGCCGTTTCAGTGCCTCCTCTTCCTTCTTGGGCGAAGTACTAACAACGGTGACTCTAGCGCCAAAGGCCTTCGCAAATTTAACCGCGACGTGGCCCAGCCCACCAAGCCCAACAACGGCAATATGCATGCCGGGCTCACTCAGCCCATAGTACTTCATTGGGCTGTAAACCGTGATCCCAGCGCACAGTAGCGGAGCCCCGGCGTCCAGGGGCATGTTCTCCGGGAAGCGGACAATGTAGCGCTCTCTGGCCACCATGTGGTCGGAGTAACCGCCGTAGGTCATGGTCCCGTCGACGTCGATGGAGTTGTAGGTCTGGATGACTTGGGGGCAGTGGTTCTCGAGGTCGGCGGTGCAGTTCTCGCAGGAGTGGCAAGCTCCGACTAGGCACCCGACACCGACTTTGTCTCCCGGTTTCACTTTGGTCACCTTGCTCCCGACTTCCGTCACTTCGCCGGCGATTTCGTGTCTGCATATTGATGCAGAAAAACCAGAAGGAAAGAGGGGACAAACTTAGTTTTCCATATTATTTCAAAGTAAAAAATTATAGACTGAATATGTAATTGAAATTCACATTGTATTTGGTACTGTTAAGAATTATGAAGTTAATTCTAGAAAAAAATTAAATAGATAAATGGTTTGTGACAAAAATCAAGATATGATAATGCTACAAATATTGACTAGGTGAGATATGGCACATTAATTAATGAGGAGATATGAATATGGTATGGCAATCTACAAGATTAGTAAAATTAATGTGCTTAGTTGTCATATTAATTATCAAGGAAAATGAGAGGGTGATATGTGTATAAAGGTCATGTTGCATAGTCGAGAAAACTACCCACCAAAGAGAGGTGTGGTGTAAGAACCCACCAAAAGAAAACATGCAAGGGTGAGATGAACCCTTGAGAAAGGGGGAAAACATATTCCTTGTGTTACATTTCTCTCTACCATAACTCTCTCCCAACCTTTCTACAATTCTCAAACTCTTTCAGACCAAAAAATTCCTACTTATATCAAATCGCACCAAAAAAACACAATACAACAAAATTCAACATGGTATCAGAGCATACAAAAATTTCAACAGGTACAAATCCAAACACCATATATAATTTAAAATTTAAATCATTCCATTCAAACGCATACTAAGGCGATTCTCATTTGGAGATAAAGGAATCCGCATTATGGGCTCGTTTGGAGAACATTATTTTGATCACAGATTCATTGAATCAATAGATTCAAATAAAATTATGTTTTTTTTTTTTTTTGCTACTTTTGTATCGTGAATTTTAGTTTTAGAGATTTCAAATCTCTAAAATCTAGAAATATCAAATCTCTCCTAATCAGAGAGATTTTATATATTGATTTGTAAGCTATTTGTGCCTTACTTGTTAATTTATCCCACTAAATACCCTTATCAATAAATTCTCAATATTTTTTTCTCACTCTAATTATTTTGATTAAGGATAAAAATGTCATTTGATAATACAAATTTTAGAATTTTTTTATTTTTATTGAATATTAACAATTGCAGTTACAAAACAATGACAAATTTGACAATCAAAAGAGCTGAAATCTTTAAATTGTTCAAAATCTAGAAATCTTAACTCCAATTCTCCAAACGAGAGCCCTATGTTACAAATATATTCATTGGAAGTGGATTTCATTTTTGTTAGAAATTATATGTAAAATGAGATATAGATTTACGTGTAGGTGTGTAGGTAGTAAAACATATATACCCGGGGAGCAAAGGGTAGGTAGAGAAGCCCCACTCGTTTTTGATGCAGTGAAGATCAGAGTGACAGATCCCACAATACAGAACCTTAAACCTCACATCCTCTTCTCCGGTTGCCCTGCGGGAGAAGCTGAAGGGAGAGAGATGACCAGATGGGTCGCTCGCTGCCCACCCAAACGCCTTCACCGGATGAACTTCGTCGGGAGACTTCTTCGCCATTAATATACGGGGATCGTTAGCTCTCCAGCTCTGACTATATCAAATAATGGTGAAGTTATGGAAACCGTCGTCGTTATATTCTGTGCGAACGCGAGGGTCGGATCGGGAGCAACCCAAGTCCAAGTTTTTTTTTTCTTTCTCTAATGACACAAGAATTTACGTGGTCAAGCGTTGAAACCGGAAATGTTTTTTCTAAAAACATCCATTCTCTTTCTCAGTTTCTCAACCATCTTCGTTTCTGAAAACTAGTTGATATATATAAGCCACACAGCAGATTGTCAAAAAATCACAACGCAAACATTCGTTCTTTCTGACGTCGACCGATCCAAAACATGGAAGGGAAACTGATCTGGTGGTCACCTTCTCCATCATGGCTGATGCTTTCCACCTTATGCCTTCTTCTGTGTGCCGCACAGTTACAAACGAGTAGCGCTACTGTCGCTGCAGCCGGGTATGAAACTCTGAATTTCCTCTGCCTCCTTCCGCTTGCTTTTATTAGGTTCTCGAATTCGGAAGGAATATTAATATTGTTTTTTTTTTTTTTTTTTGGTCTCTGATTGCATGCAGGACGGTCCCGATTCCGGCAGGAAACGTTGTCCCGTCCGCTGGGGTCAAACTCACGTCTGGAAAAGACGAAGTAATGTTCAAATATACGTGTTATCTCTTCCTGTTTATGGATTGCTAACTATGTGCGCAAAAATAATACAACTACTTTCAAAGAAATCGTTAAGCATGTGCATGCATGTAGCTAGGAGAATCATAAATTGTATAGTTGAGAATTTAATTTCCCCTTTCTTTTGTGTCTGGTTGATAACCATAACAGGCGATGATCGACAATGGAATCATACAACTGACGTTGACGAATCCAGGAGGGTTTGTCCGTGCACTGAAATACCAAGGCGTCGAGAACGTGTTGGAAACACACGAGCCCGATGATTTTGGAGGGTCAGTTTAGTTTTCCTTTTACCTCGTGTTCTGATATCGTACTATATATATACGGGGTAATTCATGATTATTATGCTAATAACAAACAGTGATGCGCATCATGCGGGACAATATAGCTAGCAAGCAACATGTTAGATGGTTTGATAACTTATGATGAATTGCATACATTTGATTTGTAACATTAATTTGACAGGATCAACATAACCAAGTGATAGTCATGAGTCATGTCAAAAGTTCTAGCCAATTAACCTAATAGTATTTTCTTATGATAAAAAGAAACAAACAATCGAATCATCCATACATGTATATACGCATCATGATCTCACAAAATTCGAACTTAGAAAGCGATGAATGTATGATAAGTTTTCGATTTTGTTATATATGAGCCTATACTAATCTTATATTGTCCAAACTTGTTTATCTAAAAATTCAGGTATTTTGATGTCTCATGGGATCACCCGGGAGGAGAAGGGAAGACTGAACAGTAAGTAGAATTAATTAATGACTATTCATATCATATTTAAATTTACTTTCTAACGCAAGATTTATTTGAAGGGTGGTCGGAACGAAGTTTACCGTCATAACTGAAACTGAAGATCAAGTAGAGCTGTCCTTCAGCAGCTCATGGGCTGCTTCTCCAAAGGATTTGGTACCACTCAACGTTGACAAAAGGTTCATAGTACAAAAGGGTGTCTCAGGTTTTTACTGGTACGTGATCGTCGAGAGGCTCAAAGGATGGCCCGACGTCAACATGGATCAACACCGAATGGTTTTCCGGCCCAAAATAACCATGTAAAATTGTCATCTCTTACGACTTCCATCGATATAGGCCCGATAAGAGAAATTTCCAATGCCAGCTTCACAATCGATCCAATGCTTGCTTTTTTTGTGTGTGTTGTTTCAGGTTCAAGTACATGGCAGTATCCGACGAAATCCAGAAGATGATGCCTGCTTACAAAGACAGAGAGACTGGAGAGAAACTGGCGTACCCAGAAGCCGTGCTCTTGACCACTGCGATCGAGCCCGAGTTCAAAGACCAGGTGGACGACAAGTATCAATACTCCATGGAGATCAAAGATCACAAGCTCAAAGGATGGATCTCGGACGATCCGAAAATAGGGTTCTGGGTGATTTCGCCTAGCGAGGAGTACATCGCCGGCGGACCCAACAAGCCTGAACTTACCTGTCACTGCGGACCCATTTGCCTTGCTGTAAGCCCATGTTACTTGTGTTGCAAGAAATATGGTATACGCGTAACAATTTTGGTGGCTAATCGTACTATATGTTACCATGTGTTGTTTGTT